CGCGATACCTGGGCAATGATACCAAAATGGTTATCGACAGAGGTCGTCGAGCAGAAGAAGTCATCGATATGCAGGACTGGTTACTGGAAAAGGAAGATGACTTCAACATCCCGTTCGTCTGGTCTATCGCAAACCTTGTCGAGGGTCAAGACAAGGTCTGGCGCGATCCCCTCCGCACCGGCTTTCATGTCAAGGTTCAGGTCGCAGAGCTTCGAGCCAACATCCTTCTCAACATGCGATGCAATGCGAAGCTGGACCGCATGAAGCCGTATCCCTATTCACGAACATGTTGCACTGATTATGGCGTTAAGCCAATGGTGCAGCTTTCCGTGGTAGCGATTGGTATCGTGTACCTAGCTGCTTGCATCATTTGCGAGATCTTGGATATGTGTGCCGACCGGAGTGCCGAGCAACCTCGCTTCAAACTCCTCAACATGCAAGCCGGCTGTCTCGTACTAGCACTTCTGATGTGTTACTACGCTGACCGTACTCAGATGATGGCAAAGGGTAGTAAGCTTTGGCAAATGAAAGACTTTGTCGCGCTTTGCATTGCCTGCATTGCAATCATGTTGGCCACTATTCGACGTATCAAATCGCCTGCCCCAGAGGATCTGTCAGTGGACATGCAAGAGTCAGACCAAGCATTCCTCTCACGGGATCAGACTGATGAGTGGAAAGGATGGATGCAGTTCTTTATTCTTATCTATCGCTGGACCGGTGCTCATGGTGGCTCCATATACGTCCTCATCCGTGTCTGCGTTGCGGCATATCTCTTCCAAACAGGCTACGGACATACGCTTTACTTCCTGAACAAGAATGATTTCTCATTCAACCGTGTCGCAGCCACGCTACTGCGCCTCAACATGCTGAGCTGCTGTCTCGCGTACTTCATGGATACAGACTACATGTTCTACTACTTCCCGTCTCTCTTGTCGTTCTGGTTTCTCGTCGTTTACGCGACAATGGCGATCAGACCAAGGTACAACGGCGATTTGCAGGTTATGCTGGCCAAGATCTGTATGTCTTGTCTCATTGTGTCGATGGTCTTCATGGGGACGCCTCTTACGAGTTGGGTCTTTGAGATTCTCAACACTGTCTTCAAGGTCCAGTGGAGTTATAAGGAATGGCATCGCCGCGTCACACTCGACATACTCATCGTCTACGTTGGTATGCTGATAGCCGTTGCCAACCGGCACTTGAAGAAACCTGTTCACCTAGGGCTTCGTGTAACGATTGCTCTGGCCGGCTTCTTCGCCACGGTTCATTATTTTTATGCCACCGCAGGTCTTCGCATGGCTGCGTACTCAAAATGGCATCCTTACGTATCATTTATGCCGATCCTGGGGTTCATCGCCATGCGAAACGTCTCGGGTCCTGTTCGAAATTATCACTCCAAAGCTATGGCTTGGCTAGGCCGTTGCTCTTTGGAAACCTACATCCTCCAGTTTCACCTCCTTCTCGCGGCCGATACTGAGGGTGTTCTTATTGTCGATGGCCTGTTTGGCGATGGGTCACTCATGGGAGATCGATGGAGGACTTTGGTGATCATTCTGCCAATTTTCCTATGGATCAGTCACGCCGTCGCTGGTTCAACAGCATACATCGTCAAGATGATTATCACTCAAGGCACAGAAGATGAGAAATTCGGCAGACCTTCTTTCTGGGGTTGGTTGGAGAAGATTCCCGGTTTCTCTGGCCTCTCAGCACCCAAAATCAGGGTCATTTGCATTTTATTAATTATGTGGTTGCTTAATCTAATGAGCCCAGGACATGAGATTCCCGGAGTGTTTGATGGTGGACATTCAGTGGTTGTGGCACCAAAGTTTCCAAAGGAATTTCCTTACCCAGTAGCGAATAGAACTGTATGACGAAGGCTGTACTTATGGCATGGGGTATCAATGGAGTTATTACGGAGTTTATAGATCCATAGAATGCTGTCGCGCGACATTGTCAATTGAATAGAACACTTTTTTGTTACCTTCAGAAGCCCTCGCTCGGTGCTGTGAATCCCGAGTTCGCCACATCTTGGCCCCGATAAGCACACCCCAGCGTGTTAGCGCAATCCCCGCCATTTCTCGCCGATGAGTCAAGAAGATTTTTTTATGCGCCCTCTGAGCAAATTCTCGGCTCGTCAATTGATCCTTTCGATTGTCAACCCCAAAAGCCTGAGGTGTCAATCCATTTCGACTCAGTTCTATTCACGATGGCGACATCAAGATCTTATCCAACCCAGGCTCTTGAGCTCGAGACTCTCAGCCTCACGCATGAGGCCAGTGCAACGCCGAAGCAGCCAAACCCAGTTTTATCAACAACGGGGCGTCGGCTTGGATCGCGCAATGACCATGAGGATGAGCACGACAATTTCACTGGCTCAGGCGATGAAGCTGCACCCCCGAGGGCCACTCACGTTGTAGAGAAGTGGAATGAACCCATTGGCAATGCTTTTCGAGTCGGCGCTGTCTATTGGAGTCTTTTCGTTTCAGGCGCCAACGACGCTGCCTACGGAGCTTTGATCCCTTATCTCGAGACATACTACGAGCTCTCTTACCTCGTTGTCTCACTCATCTTCCTCTCACCATTCGTCGGCTTCATTGTCTCGGCTGCCGTCAACAATTATCTCCATATGAACATCGGTCAGCGATGGATCGCCTTCATGTGCGGAGGCTGCCACGCCTTGACATATCTTATCTTATCGCAGCATCCACCATATCCTGTTCTCGTCTTGGCATATGTCCTTGCAGGTTTGGGCAATGGCATTGGACTTGCAGCTTGGAACTCGTATATCGGCAACTTGGCGAGGTCTAATGAGTTGCTGGGTTTTATGCATGCGAGCTATGGGCTTGGAGGAACTGTCAGCCCTCTTATTGCGACCAGCATGATCACCCAGGCCAACCTAGGCTGGTATGACTTTTACTATGTGCTTGTAAGTTCTTGACATCAATCTTTTATATAAGGTTGCTGATTATTATTTTAGCTGGGCATGGCTGTTCTTGAGACCGCATCTCTCACCTACTCCTTCTGGCCCAAGACAGCTCAGAAGTATCGCGAGGCTGTTCATGCTGAAGGCACTCGTAACGAGGGAACGCGCGCTGCTCTCTTCGTCAAGCCCCATGCTCGCGTTGTTTGGCTTTGTGCCTTCTTCCTTCTCGGTTACGTCGGTGCCGAAGTCGCTCTCGGCGGCTGGGTCGTGCAGTTCATGTTACGCGTTCGTAACGCTGACCCTTTCGATGCCGGAATGACCGCCGTCGGCTTTTGGCTAGGCATCACAATCGGGCGTCTGGTATTAGGCATGGTGATCCCCAAGATAGGTGTCAAATTGTCACTCATGATCTTCATTCCTATCACCATGGGCCTGCAGCTCATCTTCTGGCTCGTTCCGCAATTCCACGTCTCAGCCGTGGCAGTCTCGCTGCAGGGCTTCTTCTTGGGACCCATGTTCCCTTGTGTTATTGTTGCACTTACAAAGCTTCTTCCGCGACATCTTCACGTCAGTGCAATTGGCTTCGCTGCTGCGTTCGGTGGAAGCGGTGCGGCTGTGCTGCCCTTTGCGGTTGGTGCGATCGCGCAAGCCAAGGGAGTGCAGGTTCTTCAGCCAATTATTCTCGCTATACTGGCTGTTCTGTTCGTAATCTGGCTTGGCCTACCTAAGATCGAGAAGCGAAAGGATTAAGATGGTGAATGTTCATGAGAGATATCGCGTTCGTGGGAAGTCAAGATCAGAAATCGGAGTTGATTTCAAATACATGAGGCTTAAAAGCTGAGGAATGTTTTCATAGACAATTAGATAGGTAATTATATGAGGTTCCGACGCTCATCAAATGTACGTGCCTGTTTCTCTTACTCAGACGAGTCACCATAGCAAAGATCCGTCCTCAAAATTTGGATCTTTGGGGGCCCCATGAGGCTATTCAGGCTCATGGTGATTATCAAGAAGGTTTCAGAGGATGGACCGAACGTAGGACAAAGATCAGCTATTGTGTTAAATATAACTCGGACCAGCAATGTAACACTAGAAAAACTTCTTCTAGGAGTTGCAGAGAGAAAGTGGCTGGCGTAGGTTTAGGGTTTTAAAAGAGGCTTCAGCCCCCAGCGCACAAAGGTAAAGGACACTAATAAACACATACGGGCAAAATACTCGTCGCCCTCACTATCAGGAGAAGGTGGCGAACCCTCTCAGCGTCGCAGGCATAGTCCATCCCTGGACGCCAAGGACGAAAAGCCTTAGAAGGAACATCCCAGGGACCGCATGGACTCCCCGCGCATTGCAACCGTCGGAAAGAAAGACGGAGGAAAGAGCTCTTCATCGCCTACTCGTGCCGATACGGGTCCTTTGAGGTGGTCAGAAGACTATCAGAAGCTTTCTCCACGTGACGCCTATTCTCTATGATCTTGGGATCTGAGCCGTGGTGAAGAGTTACAGGTGGAACTTGATAGATTCAGCTCCGCGGGAGCACACATTGACTTCGACGAATCCGTCAAATCCTAGCAAAATCGATCTCATAGGGTCATCAAGAACAAGGGGCTGACGTTATCAAACTGTGAGGCAACGTGAAAGATCCTTACATTATGCAATCAGTCGAGATTCACATCGGAGCCTTGGTTGCCCACATAACTCGTATGTATTTGGTCCTCATTCCGATAGGGCTTTATGAACAAATCTCTCGTCGTGAGTCCCACGCCAGGCGGGACTCTGTCACTGACTGCATAGCTGCTGTCTCAAACCTTGCTGCTGTTTCCATTCGTGGAAAGTCAACAAGGAAATCAAATTTGACTACAAAGGCTAATCCTGATTATCATCTAGAGTTTACTCGCACGAAACTCAACCCATTATTGGGTCGCAAAACATTAAGGTTCCGTGGTCAAATTAAGATTCGCAGAGGAACATGAAGCCCAACCCTACGAAGTATAATTCCAAGCTCTATAAAAAAGACCTCTGATTCCCTCTTGTCAAAATTTCTTGCCAGAAAAACCGTCTGTGCTGCCCATAAACGCTACCGAAAATGGACTGCTTTTCTAAACTTCCTCCTGAGCTCAGGATCCGAATCTTCTCTCACTTTACGTCTACATCTACAATCTTTCGACTGGTGCAAGCATCTCCAATCATGCTTTCTCAGTACAGGGTGTCCGAAACAACTATAAGACGGCAATATGTTGTTAACCTACTCGCCGGTGATCGGCACGAAGATCTCCTACAGGACGCATTGGGCCTGCTTTATCTGGAGCTATCCGACAAACGTCCTGACAATCACGTCATGAAATACATCATCAGGCAGTGGAACTCAAAATCGCTCCCTGATCCTTTTCTTCAAAAGGATCAGGCTGCCATTGCCAAGCTTTATAAACTCTTCTCCTCTATGAACATGTTTGTGGAGGACTACATCAGCAAAGCCACTTCCTCAAACCCACCTCAAGCGTATCTCTGTCTTCCTCAGATCAGTGGCCCAAATAGAGGGCTCTACTACAAGGAGCACAGCTTTAGTCCGAGACATGTCACTTTAGATGATCTCACATCATCAGAACGTCATCACCTTATCTGGGCATTCATCAAATACGACATGTACTACAAGATTCAGGCACCTAAAATGGAGTTGCTGACAGGCAACAACGAACATTTTTTTATGTGTGTGAAAGCATTTAAGGAACTCACCAGCGGCGACCGCGAAGCACTTTCTTGCGTTTCTGATTATGTCACCGCTGTATATGGGGCCCTTTTCACAGCATCTACACGTTGCTCAACCAGACATGCTTCCAGTACCTTACGAGATACGCCCGCCAACCCAGCACGCCTGTTATACCCAGATAATCTTTATTTCAGCCCATTACTCGCCTTCGATGATATGAAGCTACCATCAAAATGCATTCGGAAATATGCTATTAATTTATCAGTCCTCGGCTTTGATCTACTCAGAGATCTAGTACGGTTTGCAAACAAAGCACAGCCCGAAGATATGCGAAGCTAGTTTTATACCATAATTTCACATGTGGAGAGATCGGACTATCTGTCCCTTCGCCACTACCGCTTCCCCTTCTTCGAAACATCCAGGGAAATCCCAGTCAATCGTCACGATGGATCGCCGAGAGCTCTCTTAGTGCAGAGATTGTTCGTTGCTGGCATGCGGAATCTCAACCAAGGGAGCGTTTTGTCGTGGCACACGCTACGCCTCATATTTAGACAACGGGCGTGGATTTTCTTGGATGATACTCGACTTCTCCAGAAGGGTCTCGGCCACTTCCCATCAATGGAGAATCTTGAACATCACCCACTCCCTGAGCGTGGATTGGAAACCATGCATGCAGCCGAGAGGAGACAACGACTGCGCCATTTACAGCTTTGCCAGTATCGAAGAGAAGCGGGTATCGAGGATACCCAAAACGAAGGACAGGAGTATATTTTCGAGGGAATAATGAGGATTTCATCGCTCGCTTTTTTGATCAATCAGGAAATAGGGTTGTGACAACATTTTGGCAACACATCGGAACTACCTTGGCTATATAGGTGAGGTGCATCTATTCTAGCGAGGATATTAGACCTACGCATCTCAGGATATTCGTCAATGCAACTTATAATCGCTGAGGCTTTAGTCCCATCTCATGATTTATTGTTAATCATCAGACTCGACTGTACTGTTTTATGCTTTTCTTTCGAGACACGATTTAAAACTCGCCACTTGATAGATGTTTTCTGTCATAGGCTCCGGAAGAAAACCAGCCTCATTCCCTGTCCATGAGCTACATGATATTTCAGCATGACAACGACACAACCATCATCCATGCCTCGTATACAGACCCTTTTTGTATTATCGTCGATATATAGTCACTTTTAGTAGGACTTCCGCTATAGCTTAATGTACAACAGAACAATATATTCAATATTCTAGCTTTGCATTCCCTTAGCTTCAGTGTAGCTGAGCAGCCAAACGTCTAATAAAAGGTTTTATGAACGTAATGTGTCATATCACTCCTTTTTGAGTGAAACGAAAGAAAGGTAATACGTGCCACGACGGATTTATGAATCTGGGCTATCGCCGTGCCCTTTTTCCAGCTCAGTTACATGGGTAGTTAGCCGACTTAGGCTTTCCATTAGTAAAGGAGAACCAATTCGAGAAGGCCTCGGATGTGGTGCAAACTGGCAACATAACAACTCCTGGGGCCGTGACGTTGTACTCAGAGACTAGATCCATGCCATCAACTGTATTGGAAGGATCAAGCATAGACCAACCGTTGGCATTCCCGTTACCAACAAAACTGTTTACGGCTCTGTTCCCGAGTGTCAGTGAGTGATTCGACATAAACCCAAAGGTTCCGATATGAGTTCTGCTTACCCGTTCACGATGTCTTCCTTTGTCAAACCACCAAAAGCTGTTTCTGATCCAGTCAGATCATCAAGTCCTGGCAGACGACTGAAGAAATTGTCGGTACAACCAGGATTGAAGCTTCCATGGGACTCGTCGCAGGTTCGAGCCTCACCTGTGCATCCGATCAAGTAGTACATCCTAGAACCGACACAAACGCCAGATGAATCGTAGTTCTTGGAGTTCATGTGCTTCACACTGGGCTTATCTCCACAGCCTTGCTCAGAATCGATGACACTGCAAGCGCGGTTAGTGAAAGGTCGTAATACCTCAGGTTGACAACGTACACTGGGCCAAGTTCGGAAGATGAAAGCTGCCATGCGAGTGGGACCAATTCCGCAAAGAGCGCCTTTGAGACCAGGGCTTGGATCGTATCGACGCCAAGATCTTGGTGCTTCGTTTCGAGCATCTGGCCGTCGGTGATAGCAGTGAAGAGTAGATCAGTAGTTTCCTTGGAACCGTTGAAAAGCTGCTCATTCATAGAGACGATCTCAGCTTGCCAGATTGTGACAATGGCTGTCAAAGAGTGAGTCATTGGGACATCATGAAGAGGAGAAGCACATGGACTACTTACCATTGAGCCTAGTCGAAATGGAGTTCTCGGCACTAAGGGCACTGTCACTGCAAGGTTTCAGTTAATGTGTCCCTAAACAACTGGTAGCAGACGAAGCCACTTACTCTTTCAGCGTGTCTTTAGCAATAGTAATACTGTTTGTTACCATTGGGTTGACCCAATCCTTAACAGTAGCCAATGTGATAGGATTGGCTTTGAAGTACGGCATACCCTTCAGAGCTACACATGGTTAGCCCATCATAATGTCACTCGTGTAATCGACAGTACTAACCTGAGTTCCACACTGGGGATACCGCGAGGGAAAAGCCAAGACCGATAATGTCAAGAAGAAGCTTGACGGAGAAATCGCTCGACTTGACAGGCGCAAAGGTGCTGGAGAGCTCTCCAACTTGAGCATTGATGTCGTTCTGAGCCCTGTCGAGTGCGTCCCAAAAGTTGAAGTGAACCTGTGAGTGATCAGCTTAAGCTCTTGACGTAGTGACGACAAGTGAAGTATGCATACGCGGTAGATGGACTCCATAGAGTTGATGGCGAAGTAGGCTCCCGGATACGTGACGTCGTCGCATTGCACAACATTGGAGCCACAGGGGTTGTCGTTCTCGATGGTACCGCAGTCAATACCCTCTGGGCCATGGAAAAGGTTGCTGAACTATCAAAGAGCGTTAGTCATGTATCCCAATTGCGTCGCGACAGCTACTACAAACCTGCTCTGTAAAGTTCAAGCCGCCAGGGAACGGATTGGCATTCCACTGATCAACACCCCACTTCCATGCCTGGTCTGCATACACAGAGTCCCAGCGAAACTTTGCATCTTTGGAAGCATCAGTGACTCCAGGGTTGGTACAGGTAACATGCTTGAAGTCGTCACCCGCTCCATTGTTGCCGCCATCGCCACTAGCGTGACAAGTGCCATAGCTGCAAGCGCTGTGATCCATACCAGGCCATTGATTGCACGCTGGATCGGCGTAACCCTTCTTGAACGGCAGAACTTGGTAGTTACCGTTGTAGATGTAGTTGGGGCAGCCATCGCTGACACACATTCCGCCGGTCGCTGTATAAATGATATTGCCACTGGGGTCCTTGACAGTGATACGCTGAGCACCGGTTTGAACCTCTCCAGCGCCATAGCCATAGTTCATACCAGGATTCAGAGGGGCCGTGTGCTCCGTGGTTCCAGAGACGGTTACCGTGTACCCAGATCCGAAGGAGGGACTGAGGATGATAGCATAGTAGAGATAGTTGACATCATCATCCCATCCGTCTGGCTTGCTGTAGTAAGCATCGTTGCCGTCGTATGGACATTTCACATCTGAAAGCTCGGTTCGATACCATGCAGCACCGACGAGAACATCGCCGTTCATCGGTGTCATCTGTGAAGCTGATTGGCCAGTCTTGTAAGCGTTGACGAAAGACGAGACAAGAGGTTGCCAGCCTGTATGATCCCAAGTCTCCTGGTTGGCATAGAAGTACGGTTCGGTGTCATTATTTTGCTCGGTCCAGAGGTTTCCGATGTAATGCGCTTCGGGTCCGTCGTTCCACGTCTGAAACTGTACATAGTCGGGCTGGGGATCCATATTGAGGATGTTGACCATACGCTTCGGCAGGTTGAGGTCTCCTTGTCGATAAACGTGCGCTCCATAAGCATTCTTGTACTGCAGTGGACTAAGACCCATCATGTACAGTCTGTCGTGTTTGTGGGCACCAGCAAGAACGGGAACATCGATCGACACATCTCCGGCGTACTTGCCGCCGAAGCCTTTGCGTTCGGGCCAGGCAGACTCCCAGCTAAAGATGCCATCGACAATGGGGCCCCAGTATGACCACCATCCATCAGCTGAATCATAGTATCCGTCAGTTTCGTCAAAGTCGGGCATGAAGAACATGTCGTTGGCGAGTCCTTTCTTCCAGTTGATCCAGGTATCGTTGTGTAAACCACCAGACGAGAACGTGCTGATGAGAGGACGGCCTTTGATTTGATAGTAGGCTGAGCTTCCTTTATAGGAGTCCCAGATCCACTGGTAGTCGGATGGGCCATGGCACTGAGAATATTAGCCAATATGAGCGGTAAGTTAGAAAGCTCGTTTCACATACCGACTTGCCGCCATGGTAGCAGGCATCGCCAGAAGCATAGACATCCATGGAGATGTACAGTTTGAAACCGACGGACTCGGCATACGGAAACAGGTAGCTGAGAGCTTGAGAGACATAGTCGCGAGTAGCGTCACCAATGTTCAATGCGAAGCCGTCAAGGCCCATCGATTTGGCATTGTCGATATCTTTATGGGCATGCTCCTCGGTCACAGTTCCGACCTGGGCGGCATAATAGTTAATAACAGAGCACTGCGGGTCGATGAGTGAGAAAGGATCTGACCATGTAATGAGCAAATACTGCTTTGGCACTGGCAACTCTAGCCAAAGTGCTAGAGATGGCCAGCCACTTGACAAGTCCCTTCATCGTGAACATGAGGAGAGCACCTTGAAACGTAGGTGTGAGGTGTCGATACAAAGCGACATATTGGCATCATACGTCTTCTATTTATTCCTAATTGCTTTCTGTCGCCGTCTTTTCACATCTGAGGCGATGCGACTTACTAGTCAAATGGTTCGAATGATGTTACATCGAGAATGTCGGAAATGACGGAGGCCACTAAAGCCGACGCAAGTGTTCCTGCAGGAGCTGTCATGATAACCCCCCATTGCCCAACTCGGCATTTCAAATAGACTCACCTGTATGCTTCAATGATTTAAGCTTTCGGTTATATGCTAAAGAGGTTGCTCGGTGGGCGAAGGATCGCTCTACCCTCAGAATCGTATAGCTTCAAACGCTATGGTGCCATTGAAGTCCCCACCACGGTTATCTCGGCAGTCTAGGCGAGAAGGATTAACTCTCAAGGAAGGTGACAGCCTGAATCCTTCAGATTGGATAAATCTTTTCGTAGTCAGTGATAGGGTAAAAAGGTTGCCTTACTACGACCTGCAAGGGACGAGATACGAGATATAGAAATCAGCAGTGCAAGTAATACCGGGATTCGAG